TGTGGTGCCAGTTTCAGGGATTTTGATCTTTGGTTTATGAGTCACAGGCCCTGTCTTGGTAAAGCTCAAAAAGGTTTCTTGTTTAGAGACACAGCTGGGTGTGGCAAACCAGGTTTGGCCATCACTATATTCATCATCCTCAGTATCGTCCTCATCATAATCATCTTCGTAATCTTCATCCCCCTCCAGGAATTTAGGGTATTCTAAAACGACACACCAGTACAGCCCTAGATTGTCCTTTTCCAGGTGGGAGATCGTCAGTGTGTGGCCATTCTCAGTCAGTCTACCCCTCAGATCCTCTGGGATGGGAACAGTCTTGTCATTTGAGTCATGGATAAGTTCATGTTCACCTGATGGTTCCAGGCGATACCACTGCACCCTATATGAGTCATATTTGCCGGCATCACAACCCAGCAAGACGTCCCTGCCTTCAATAACAATTTCTTCTCGAGATTGCTTTTTGGGGCAATGAAGTAGTGAGTACTCAATGTCAAGAGAAGAGGAGATGCATGAATAGTCCCCCCAATGTTCATCCGAGACTGCAGGAATTATCAAGGAGAAGTCCTCCAATTTTTTACCAAACGACAAGTACATCCCACTGTTATTTATATTGCTACCATTGATTATGCCCAGTGGTGTATTCCATTCCTGCTTGTTACCATCATAGGGGCAGTTTAGTACCAGTCTGTCCCCTTCAGAGACAAAAATGTCCCTGGTGTCACTGAGGTCTGGTAGGTACATGTTTTGGAAACCTAGACAATCCTTACCTTTGATCACAAGACAGTAAAACTCCTGGCTATTCTTAATCATGCTGTTATTAATCAAGAGCAACGCCCCTCTTTCCCTGACCTCCACAACACCCTGCAGATCCTCCACCATTGGCTCCAGTGACACGCTGCTATCCAAGAAGAGTGTGACCTTATGAGACGGAGACATTTCATGGTACCAGCGCACATTGGCTCCCTCCAGACCAATGGAAGTGCTGTTGCACAGAAGCTCAGACACTCCCCCTTCTTTCTTGACAATGATCTCTTCAGATTGAAGCTCCTCAGTGCACACAAAGACCTCTTGTGTCTGCTGGCTGACTCGTGTTTGGTTCTGCCAACATTCCCTCCTATAAACCCCGGAGTCCATGTGTGTGAGGTGACTGATCTGCAGCCCGAGCAGGTGCATATTTTGGGTGATGCTGATTCGATCCTGGAGATCTGTAGGAGGTGTGATCGGCATGTCGTTGGCTGAAGAGTTGCCAAGCAGCTGGTCTCCCTTTTGAGTAGATCTATAAACAACAATATAATCCACTCCGAAACAATACCCCATCTCAATATTGCTGCCCTCTGCTTTGAACACAGGCTCTGCCTCCTCACTGTAGACGTGGTGGAAGAGCAGGAAAAGCAGAAACTCTAGAAATCTGATAGAGGTCATATTGTCCGTCTTTCTCAGGCCATGTGTTTATCACACACTGGGAAGTGTGCTTACAGTACTTTGGTTTGTCACTTTCGTTCCGCCTCCAACTAATATCAGTATCCTCCTCTTCCACATTCTTCCACAGAACTACACAAAGAGTGACAGGCGCAGGTACACACAGACATAAAGGCATCCACACTGGCATGCAGACACACACCTACACACACACACACACACACACACACGTACGTATTCAAGTTAATGAGTGACAGGGGAGGTTATTAAAGTAATTAAAGTCTTTTACGCAATTGTGACTAGCCTAAGACAATCAATAAGACTAAACAAAAGCCAAGAGTAGGACCATAAATATAAAATTATGATCCTTATGATCCTGGTTGTACATTAACTCTGTTGATGGGCAGTTGAACAGGTTTTCTCTCACATGTGGGTGTGGTTGGTCGCCACACAAGGTCACTAGACAGCAGTTGGAGGGAGTGTTGCACACGTGTTTTTTGCGGGAATTCCGTGCAAGCAAGCATCATTGCATATGTGCAAATGCATGAAACAGTGCTCTTATTCAGTCAGCACCTAATCTGAAATAAATCTAGGAGTATGAAGTAACCTGTATCAGATCTCTGATGCCTGGCAGTTACCATCATGTTATTTGTTTTGCACCATGAGGAAACAGAATAGCTTTTGTACATTCATTTTTGTGCTTTTTATCAGATGGAAGGAACTATTTATCTTGATTTCACATTACACAATGTGCAAGAGTTGAGTAACATGATAGTCGGCAAAAGGCTGTAAAATTAAAAAGTGTCCTGTTGCATTATGACACCGTCAAGTAAACAATATTAAGAAATAGAAACATTTGTGCTCATCAACACTTCTTCTAGCAGCCTCATAGTGGTGCACTAATAACATATGTGTTTCATATTGATCATATTATGTTAAGTTTCGAAATCATGACTCTCATCGCTGATGTGTAATCTGGTTTTTAATCACACAACATAGTGGGGCGTTGTATAATCTGTTGATACTATACAGCTACTGTTTATTACACCCTTGTTTCAGATGAGGAAAAACTGGAAAATATGGAGCAACAGAGGAGGAATCCTTCCCAGGATTGACAGACAGGAAATAGATGTTGTGTGTATTTTATAGACCAAGATAGTAAAATTACAGTATATGGACAATCAGGAAGACAAAAGTATAGATTCATTGTGAATATATAGGAAGAACATGAACACAGGACCTCCTCTCCACCATTGATACCTGAAAAGGACAGACTACACAGACTCACAAGAGCTCAAGCACAACCTTTCACACAGATATTAGAATAACTAGTCATATTACTCGACTCCTTCACTCTTTTAAGCCTGGTGTAACAGCTCTTTCCAGTTAATAAATAGGACACTATAACTGTACTACTGCAGTCAAGGTTAAATGCCTGTGTCTACATTGCACAACAAGGAAATAACTGCTCCTGATAAAGCAGACACTCTATCTCTCTCTTTCGGTTTGTTAAGTCCTGCAGGGTGTATTTTGGTGACAAAGGACAAGTACATTGTCTGGGAAAGTCCCATACTTTATAGCCACCTGCCCAGGTGCTTGGTCAGGTGGTGGTTTTGGAATCATGTTGGGGAAATATTACTACTATTTGCTTTATGAGGAGATGTCTAGCCAGATTTAAAAACATGGGTGATATTGATGGACTGTGGGGAAACACTGTGACGTTCATAGCTGAAAGGGAGACAGTGAGATGATGTATTTGAAAGATGTCACCAACACACAGATGAAACTTTGGTTACATTTATCTGCTGCTAACATCTCTCCATTGTTTTTTTTTTGTTAATGGTATTGATCTCTGTGTTTTGGTGACTGTGCTGCAACCTGGTTACAGCTGTGTCTTTAA